TTGCCAGCCAGACACAGAGGAAGCAGCATGAGCAATATAGAGATGAAGTAATGAGCCACATGATAAAATGTAGATTAAAATAAATGGATTAAATTAAGTTATAGGAGCTAGTAGACAAGCCTAAGCTAAGGCCGAGCTTTCATAGTTAATAATAAGTCTTTGTGTCATTATTTGTAAGCTGGCTGCCCAAAGTCTGACTGCATTTGATGCTCAGCATGTAAATCCACATAGGGTCTAAGAAAGCTGGAAAAAAATAGTTTCTAGTAGGCTCGGTACTTACAGCTCATTTAATGGGGTTTATGAGCATCCGGCAGTGCACTACTCAGTATGTGTGTGTGCGTGGGGGGGGGAGATTAGGTAGAACTGGGGCAGATAAATCGGCTCCAGGCTGGAGGAGGGGAGTGCACAGGCATGATGTTCCATTCTCACAATCCTGAAGGCGGCAGAAGCAGCTGCCAGGCCATGTACTAAAAGGAGATACATGGTGGAGGGCCTAGCCACTGCTTAGCAGTTTAAGGTTTAGCTCACGTGGTCTGAGAACGCTGCAAGGCTTAGTAAAGCCAGGTCCAGACACAGAAAACCTCTAAAAAGGTACAGTATGTTTAGAAATGTGCTTGGATGTTGAAGAAAGAAAATAGGTACAGACAGTCATAGAAAAAAATAGTTTTATAACAATAAAGCAAAATCTTTAAAAAGAGTAAAGTAGTATTTTTTAAAAAGTCACATAAACTGGGCAGAGGTGGCGCATGTCTTTAATTCCAGCACTAGGGAGGCAGAGACAGGCAGATCTCTGTGAATTCAAAGCTAGTCTGGTCTAAAGAGTTCCAGGACAAGCTCCAAAGCTACTCAGAGAAACCCTGTCTAGAAAAACCAACCAACCAACCAACCAACCAAACAAACAAACAAGCCACATAAAGATAAAAGATAGGAAATACACAAGGCATCTGGATCCTGAACAGTACACTTTGTTGACTTTAAATGTTTTGAATGCTAATGAACAGAAAAGCACAACCGCTGAGAGACACTGGATTGTGGAATAGACTGCTGAGTTAAACCAGCCTATATACTTTAGGAATGTCTTGACTTCAAAAGTTGGACAATGTGTTGCATTGGGGGAGAGGTTATGCTTTATTTCACAGGAAACAAAAAGCTATGGATTCCTTCAAAGTTAATTGAGATGAGATTTGACCGGGGGAGACCTCCTGAGGATCTTGGCTACAGACATGAGGGAAAGAGCCAAGCAAGACTACAAGACAGATGATACATAAGCTGATCCCTCAACATGGGAACTGCTCTAAGACTGGATGAAACAGAGTAATTCTTGTTGGCTACAGAGTCCTCATGACTTATTATTACATGCCACCCTTTCATATGGCATGGATAGAGGTTTGGTTATACAGTCCAAATGACTTATAAAGTTGACAGATATCTTTTACCTGCTCAAAAATAAAACAAAAAAAATCATCTTTGTACACACTGCACATTCCATACTTGTGGTAATACAGATATATATTACCTTTAAATGTTTGTGTGTTTGCAGAAAAAAAGAACAAGACACCAATAAAGACAAGAAGCCCAGGTGATACAACTTCTCAGAAAGCCTGTTGTAGTTTCCTCAAAATTTTGCAGAACAACTTCAAAGTTACTATCTGAGATGGTTCAGCCTCACAGATTACTCCAGCCAGACTTCAGATAAACTCTACACTTTCCCATTACACTGAGACTAGACAACAACTAGCTCTTCCAGGACTTGACCGTTATCCCAATTTTCTCAAGATCTTCTAAGATGCCGTCACCCACAGATAACAGGAAGCAGTCTAGAGAACACAATGCTCACATTCTCAAGAGGTGGGGTGGTGGTTTTTGGACATTTGGTAGGTTATGGATGTTTGTCGTTGTTTAGGGGGGTTGGTTACAAGTTGTTATTGGTAATGGTCAGAAAAAAGGCTGTAATGATAACTCTTCCCGCCAGCTGCCTGGGTTCTGCTGTCACTTTAGGGCCCCCAAATCACACACAGAGCCTTATATTAGTTACAATGCTGCTGGCCAATGACTAGGATTTCTTATTTGCTGGCTCAGTCTTAATTATCAACCATAACTACTAATCTATATATTTTATAAGGACTTATCTTACCAAGGATGCCGGCCTTATGCATCTTCTCTTCCTGGGATCACATGGAGACTCCCTCCCTTTCCTACATTTCCCAGAATCCTCCTTCTCTGCTACTTTCACCTAACTTATTCCCTATTGGCCAACAGTGCTTTATTTATCAACCAATAAGACAAACATATACACAGAAGGACCTCCCCCATCAAAAGGCTGAACAAAAGATATTAGATTCAGGAATCTCTTTCTGAAGGGAAAAAGGGAGGATATAGTATATAAATGGTGGGATAAAAAGGTGGATTGTTAAGTCTACTTTTGAACAACCATTAGTTTCAAATATTTTACAGTGGTATGTATTTTTATATATTGATAAAATTTAAGGTTATTTTTGTTTATATATGTTTCTACTTTTCTCTAAGGTATTGTACCTGTGCAGATTATTAAACAATGTAATGTAAATTTCTAGTCCTTGAAAATTATTACAAACTATTTAAGATAATTAAGAAATACAGGCCACTAGTTAGTTATCTAACAACCAAATTTGTGGCCATGTTAGGTATGTTTTCAAGGTCCAACAGAGAGATATTTTAGACAGATGGTCTTCAAACAGTTCAGAGATCAGTAAGACATATCTGCTCCAGGCAGTACCAGTTTACTTCAAAAAAGGATGACAGGCACTGAAGAACCTCCATATGGAGTTTGCTTTCATTGTGGATAAATTAGCCACTGGACAAGAAACTGTCTTTGCCTCAGCTTATCATGCTACACACACACACACACACACACACACACACACACACACACAGAGAGAGAGTCTGTTAGATATTCTAGGTCTATAGGACAAGGATGGATGCCCCAGCATTGCAGAGGAACCTTGGGTGACTGTCCAGGCAACCAGATATCTCTGTCATTTCTTAGTTTTGGAAGTTGTTTGCTCTGCACTTTCTGTTTAATAGGGTAATATATTCTTCTTGAGTCTTTGATGGGATTACAGACTAGATATAGTTACAGTTTTCCTTGTTACCAAATTCAGAAAAGAAAATCACAAAAGAGATATAAAGCATATAAGGTTGAAAGACATAAAAGCTTAACTAGTTTAAGAGAATGTTTTAAAGTCTAAAAAGATAGTTTTGGGTTGGTGAATACAAGTTAGGATAGAAAGTAAATTAAGTACAAAACTTTTGACTCATCAAGATAGGATAGGTAATAAAATATTTCCTCTAAATTTGCCAAATACAGATAGACTGGACATTATAAATATAATCCTTGCCTGATAATTGTTCTTACTGTATATAGTTTTACTGTGTTAGAGTTAAAACCTTTCCTTTTTATTTAGACAAAAAGGGGGGAATGTTGTAGAATATTTGTATACTGTGTCAAGATAAATTGCTGTGATTAGTGTAATAAAGAGCTGAACTGTCAATAGCTAGGAAGGAGGTATAGACAGAACTTCCTGGGACAGAGAGGACTCTGGGAAGAAGAAGGGTGGACTCGTCAGGCAGACACAGAGGAGCATGAGCAGTACAGACAGATGAGGTAACGAGCCACATGACAGAATATAGATTAAAATAAATGGGTTAATTTAAGTTAGAAGAGCTAGTGAGACAAGCCTAAGCTAAGGCTGAGATTTCATAATTAATAAAAGTCTCTATGATATTATTTGTAAACTGGCAGCCCGAAGAAAAGTCTGACTATCATTCCCATTCCAAATTAGCTTTGTGATCTCTCTCCAGGGAACAGGTCCTCTCCAAGAAAACTGCCATCTAGTCCCTTTAAAAAAATTATTTACTTTATGTGTATGAGTGACCTGTCTTAGTTCACACCAGAAGAGGGAATCAGATCCCATTACAGATGGTTGTGAGCCCCCATAAGGTTACTAGGAATTGAACTTGGGACCTCTACAAGAGGAGCCAGTGCTCTTAACTGCCGAACCATTTCTCCAGCTCCCATCTAGGTCTTTTTAAAGAACTCTGGCAAGGATTCCACTACTGTTGAACATACAGGACTCACAGATACAGAAATGGTTCTGGCACATCATCCAGTGGTCTGCTGAGTACATTCAAATATGTTTTTTCTGGAAAGGATGCCAGGTCTGAATACCACACAAAGTGAAGTGATACAGGACTTTAGAGTACTGTCAAAGATAACAAGATCGACAAATTCAAAATGGCTCACCCCTGCATTTTCAGCCTCTTTTAGGAACATTCCAGCTTAACATCCTCAAACAAAAAGCTCTCAGAATTATGAAAGTACTAGAGGTGACCTTCAAGGTCATAAGGTCAACTCCTTTATTTAGCACATGAAGAAACTGAACTATGGGACAGTTAAGTGACTTTGCTCAAAATTCAATGTTAGTGGTCAGTTACAGGCCCTATTTTCACTAAGATACAGAGTCTCAATATACCTGGTCTAAGAAGAGGCATAGAAAAATAAGAAAAAAACAAAGAGTGAGCATTCTTAAGTGTTAACTATGCAACAATACCTTTACAATCCTCAGTGAGGTAGGTACTGTTATTAACCCACTCTGCAGCTGAGGAAGCTACAAGTTCATAGTAACAGAATCATTCGCTCAGGAGCATAGGCAGTTGTAGGAATGGGTTCTGAACACTGCCAGTCTAACCCAAGTCTATTCCCTTCCCTGTATATCATATGCCCTGGATCCTACACCTCTCTCTTGCCTGAATGAAGATGCCAACAGCTGAAAGAAAGGAAGATAACTATAACCATCACCAGTAGGTTTTCCCACCTCTTTCTATTAGCTCATTGGGCTTCAAAGAACTGGCTCTAAACGTGGGGGGGGGGGTGCTCTCCCCAAACTGCCTGACAAAAGGCACCAGGAGAAACACTGGCATAGTGTTCCCTTCCCCCACACAGAAGGCAGGTCTGGACTTACCAGAGGTTAATCCATCTCCAAGCAGGGTGCTAAGGATCACCAGTTGAAGAAACACTCCATGCCCCACAGAGGTCACAACAAACGCTGAGTTGCTCTTTGGTGCTATCCTGCCATGGCACATCTTTTATCCGTCCGATGTTTTTTATTTATTTATTTATTTATTTTTTAAAGAGAAGACTTTAAAATCCAGAAGTAAGAATCCTAAAGCCAGCCAGGAGTAGCTTCACCTATAATAAACAAACAGACAAAAAGATTTAAGTAAAATGAAAATTTCAGCCATAAGTTGACAAGAAGCAAGCACTCTGCAAGGAAGCCACAATCCCACACTAAGATGAAAGAATTCTAGCAACTGAATCATTACTGCCAAGAGAAGAGACAAGCACAGAAGTAGGTTTCAGCTTGTCTTGGGGAGCTGCCAAAGCTTGCTGCCAGCTGTTGTCAAAATCCTGGTTCAGGAGCCAGACCCTTGCAAAAAGGGTCAGGGGACAGTTCCAGCTCACCTGGATGTCACCTGCATCGCTAGCCAGGTCAGTGTTGCTTTCAGAGACTTCTTCCTGCTCTGCCAGGACCACTGACTTATGGGCTCCAGCAGAAAGCAGCTGTTGACACAGAGCTGCTACGCCTATGTCACTTGGCCTCAAAGCTAACCAAAGGAAAAACAGTGAGCACATGTGTTAAAGAAATAACTACACCGCCTAGAGAAGGAATGCAGCAGCAGCTAAGTCCACAGAGGCCTAGCCTGTCAGACACTCAGGAGCCTCAGAGGATCTGACTCGACAGCCACAAATCTCAAAACTATTCAAGGCTCAACCCACACACCTGTGACCAGATACCTGTGACCAGAGGGGTGACATTCTACTGACTGTCCCTGACAATGATGGGGATGTGGAATACATGCTGTGGTTGCTAATTGGTTCCACCACTCACTCTGGTTCAGGCTGACTTCTGAAGAGTGGAAAGTATTATTTTAAAAAAGAAAGAAATCAAGCCATGTGTGGTGGCATACACATTTAATCCTTGAGTTCTGGAGGAAGAGGCAAGGAGATCTTTGTGAGTTCAAGACCAACCTAATCTATACAAGGAGTTCCAAATCAACCAGGACTACACAGTGAGACCCTGTCTCAAACAAACAAACAAAATCAATCTGTAATCAAGAATTTAAGGATTATTTTCTGTCGTTAGAGAAGGTGTTGGGTTAATGACACATTATAAAATGACCCTACTTCAGGGTTTCTCTGTGTAGCCCTGGCTGTCCTTGAACTCACTCTCTCAGGTTGGCCTGGAACTCAAGAGATCCTCCTGCCTCTGCCTCCTAAGTGTTGGGATTAAAGGTATATGCCACTAACACCTGGCTAGTCAGTTCTTCTTAAAAAAAAAAATTCTATACACTTAACATAAAGCTTTACAGACACAGGTTAGAGGGTTTGCCACCTACAACCCTAAAAAAGGACTCCCTGTGTCTTGGCCAAAAATGTTAACTAGACTCAACTTTAATATATGTCTGAAGCCTTAACTCAAACCCATGTCTCTCCCAGAGAAGACATCTGCAAGCAGTAACATAAGTTCTCTCAGTCCAAAAGAGGGCAGTTATGATTCTTCAGTAAACATTAGCCAGAGATCAAGAACAGAGCTAGTTACTGGTCTTCACCTCTTTTCCCTAGTAATTGTAACAATAGCATCTTTGGTCCTTAGTTTTTAGTCACACTCTAACTTGAGCCTTTAAAGCTATAGACAAAAGTGATTCTTGGGTAAGTCTGTATGTCTATACATGTGTGGAATGTGTTCACATTGATATGGCTGTAAATGGGAGTCAGAATGCCCAGCTATATTCATATATTTGCTCCTCTTTGTTCTTAGCCCCTTTTCCTCTGTGAAATAGCACTGTAAGACTCTGACAAAGTGCCCAGACCTATTTAAGTCCTCAATTGTCATTGCTGTTACAGTCACCAATAACACTTGAGCAAGGATCTTTAAGCATCTGCAAAAAAAGGGGGAGGTTTTGTTTAAAGTCAAAGAGGTTAAAGATGTTAAAGGATATGCCCAGAGCCCTAGCTGGCTAATAACAAATTAACAACCAGCTTTGTGGTGCTACCATTTCAGTGTATCCACACTAGATAACCCAATGAGGCATTCTTTAGTCATCTCTTCAAAGCAACAACTGGGAACCATCAAAAATGCCATCTGCATATGCCACATCACAGCACGTGCGTGCACAGTACATAGTTAAGTGGTGAGCAGATATATGTGAGGTTGTGCCTTAGGTGTTCTGTACATGAGTGTCGAGAGTCAAGCAATACTACCCAGAGAAGCTAATGCTCAGCTGAGTCCTAAATGATGGGGGGGGGGAGCAGAGTTACCATATATAGGTGAGTCAGAGTACTCCTGGCAGAGGTTCAGAGGAAGGCTAAACCAAGGAATTGACATTCTATTCTGAAAAGCAGGTTATGCTGACGAGGATATTAGGGAAGTTACAAGAGCAAATTCTCTTTTGTAATTTTATTATTTTTAAATTATTATACATGTGTATATGAGTATGGGTATGTGCATGCTGAGTATAGAGGTCCAAGGGTCAGAAGGTAGTGTTAAATCCTCTGGAACTGGAGTTACATACACTTGTGAGCTGCCTAATATGGCAACTCCCGAACTCTGAAAGAAGTATGGGTAGTATGTGTACTCTTAACCACTAAGCCTTATCTCTAGCCTCACAAGATCAATTTTATTTTTAAGATCACTTTGGAAGGAATTTTTAAGAATTGGTGGGGACAGAAGATAATTTTTTGTTTGTTTTCAAGACAGGGTATCTCTGTATAGCCCTGGCTGTCCTGGAACTTGATCTGAAGACCAAGCTGGCCTTGAACTCACAGAGATCCACTTGCCTCTGACTCCCAAGTACTGGAATTAAAGGTACACACCACCACTGCCCTACTGACAGAAGATAATCTTAACATTTTATATTTTATACATAATGCCTTTGGAAGACAATAATATAGGTTCAAAAAGCACATATTCTCTGATCTAATCATTCTAATTCTAGATCTGCCCTTACAAATCACACATATAGAAAACATATACATATGTAGGGTACTCAGAGCATTGTTTAGAAAGGGAAAAAACTGGAGTAACATGAAAGTTAAAAAGGAAGTTGGTTAAATTAGTTATAGTACACTCAATAGTATTGTTGCTTAAAAACGGCATTCCAATCCTCGTATGGCTTCTAAAATTAATGTATGAAAAAATTAATGCACCCTTATATTTTTTAATGTTTATTTTTGCTTTTAAAAATACATTCTTTGTAGCCCAGATTAGTGTTGACCTTTGTAGATAGCCCAAACTGGCTTCTAACTCTTCATCCTGCTACCTCAGCCTTCCAAGTGCTAGTATTACATACATAGGTATATACCATTATACCCAGCCCATGTTTGGGTTTTTAAAGGGTATCTGTTTTACAAGTATCTATATGCACAAAAAAAAAAAAAAACCCTCAGAAAAAATGTATAAGAAACACCACCTTGCTGGGTGATACACTCCTTTAATCTCAGCACTTGGGTGGCAGAGACAGGAAATATCTGAGTTCAAGACCAGCCTGATCTACACAGAGCAAGTTCCAGGACAGTCAGTGCTATGCAGAGAAACCCAGTCTTGAAAACAGAAGAGGGGAGGAGAGGAGGGGAAAAGGAAGGAGGAAGGGGAAGAGAGAAGGAGAGGGGAAGAGACTGCTTTTAGGAAAGGGAACTGAGAGGTTAAAAATCAGGAAGCAAAATTAAAATAAATTCTTACTATATGCTTTCTCTCAAACTTAATGTACTTCTATTAATTGTTCAAAGAGATAAAATAAAAATTAACTTAATATAGCAAGACTTTCCTGTCTAGGAGCATCTCCAAGAAGAGTCCCTTTCCTGAAACTTCCTATACCATGCCTATCGCCAGAACTGTCTCCTTGGAACCATTCCTCCTAAGCTAGGAGTCTAACTTTGGGGCAGTCACTTATCTCATTTCTGCCTATTTCCTCCTTTGTAAAAGGGAGAGGAGTATTGTTTGCTTTGACTATCTCACTAGGCTCTATTGAAGCTCAGCCAGTCCAAAAAAGAAGAAGAAAAATGAGGGAAAAAATCTTGTAAACTAGACCTGGGGCTTCTGTGTAGTCCTAGCCAGAACCTGCAACTTGAGCCCAAAGTTCATATGGCTTACTTGCTTCCAGGCTAATGACACTGCCTGCTTAAAAGGTTAAAGCTGTCCTTGAGTCTCTTTCAAAACTAGCTCAATGCCTGAGAAAACAGCAGTAGGTGGGATAACCATGAAATAGCATGTACCCTGTTCTCCAGGCGGCCAGTCACACATCATCTTTGACCATTTGCCCAGATGCCTTGGAGAACACCCCTGTGGAGAATGCCAGTTTTGCAGAAGATGGGGGGCAGGAGTTATGTCACAGTGAGCTCTCCTCTCTGGAGTCAAAAGGGCCTGACTCAATAGGCCTTGACTCCCATGTACCTGAAGGCTAGTCAGCTTCAGTTCACATATAATTTTAGGACAAGTTATTTGATAAACCATAAATCATTTATCTATTACTCAGGAAAGGGAACTGGAAAAAGAAAACAAATTTGAAACCTTTTCTTGTCTCAGACTAATATAAAAAGGAATGGAGGGAGTGTAAGAGAATCCAGAACAAGATAGTGTTTTCCTTTGACCAACCCTCTCCCTGCCACATGATAAAGGACAAAGACCATATCCTGACATATGAACAGAATGTAAGCAGCTGATTACATTTCAGAATGTAATGATAAGAAGTCCAAAGTCCTCTCCCAGAGCAGAATCAAAAAGTGACTCCCATTCCTTACCTCTCACCTTCTTAGAGGGGACTACATAATGTTCCCCTTTTCACTCCCATTTACCTTCAAATCATCAGATCCTCCTACCATACCCTACAAACAATAGGAGTTTTTTTAAAGATGCCTTCTATTTCTTCCTTCTAGGGATCTTTCCAGTCACTAACTTCTATTTCTACTGAGCCAACAACACTTCAGTGCTTCAGTGGTCACAATTTCTTCTACTGGGATTTGAGGAACATTTGGCAGAACGTTACCTTATCCACTTCAAGGCAGGGTAGGGCAGGGCAGGGCAGCAATGGGGGTGGGGTGGGGGAGAGCAATGTAACAAGCTGGCCTTGAACTTGTAATCCTACTGCACCAGCCTCCAAATTGCTGGGATTATAGCTGTGCTCCACCATTCC